GCCAACAGGTGATAATCCCATCCTCTGATCATCTAACTAGGCACAGCTTCTAGTAACTTCAATTAGAAGGTTATAGGAGGGAAGAGCAGCTGAAAGCCAGGACCCAATTAGTCCCAACACAGAGGGTGATCCCCCATCATTTTGTCTTAGTAGGTATTCATAATAAATAATGTTCTTTTCCCCCTTATTTGTGGCAATTTTTTCTGAATGGGAAGTGTTACAGGAAAATTGGTGTCCCTTCTTGGGGTTCATAGTTTCATTAGTAAAAGAATTTAAGAATGGGACTCAGAAGAAAGCTTGAAGGCTTTAGCTTAAAAGGAAGACTGCAGGCAATGTAAACACCAACATCTTCCCTGGGGAGAAAGGTAGAAGAGAAATAGAAAGCCAGGCTATTTGAGCTAAGCCTGAATGTTTATCAATGGAAGCCAACCCCGAGGACAGAGGGGAGGGAACTTCAGATAAAGATTTAGGAAGCCTAAATTGTTAGAGAGTGCTTGTCCTGGATTAGGTAAGTAGGGAAGAAGAAGAAGAAAAGAAGTAGGAGGAGAAGAAGGAGATGGAGGGAGGTGAAGGAGGGAGAGGAAGGAAAGAGAAGGAAAATAGTTACGGACAGACCTCACAGGTCCTCATTCTTGGTCTGTTTATAATGACTGCTCAGAAGGTATAGTTTCTGGGAAGGAAAAAGTACATTATCTCATCAAGTGGCTAACTATTCCCCCCATCTCTTTAGCAAGGCACTGGGTGAATCTACCTTCTTATGGGTGATCTCTTAAGTTATTGGCTAGCCCAGCTAGATTAGTGGTTATGTCTGGAGCAGTTGGAATCTCAGATCTCCATTATTCACATGGTACACAGTAATACAACCAGAAAAAAAACACCCATACCCATTTAAGAATCCTGCCATTTTTAGTGTGTTCTCTGTCTCTGTTTGCAGTTTTACATGTGAGCTCTCAGGTGCTGCTCCATGGTCTGCTACCATCCACCTCCATCTGCCATCATGGACTGTATTGCTTAGGAACCATAGCCCAATAAGCCCTTCCTTTGACAAGTTTCCTTGGTTATGCTGTTTTATCAAAGCAACATGAAGTAGCTGAGACAGAGTAATACGTGCTAGTCAGAGTTCTCCAAAGAAAAACTGATAGAATTGATATTAAAGGGAATTCATTAAACTGACCTACATGACTCAGTTTTGTAGTCAACAATGCTTATTTCATACCAGCAAGGTCAAGAATCCAGGAGATTTTAGTTTGTGAAGTTGGATGTTGCTGCAGTCCTGGTCTGGTGCTGAGGTCCCAGATTGGTGGAAACTTGTAACTGTGACTTGGCACAGGTGTTTGTGGTTTTTGTACTTGTAAACTCTGCTTCTGCCATGCTCAGGGCTGCCAGAAGGATCAAGGTAGCCTGATCCATCAGCGACCCCACTCATGTGCTGATTTACTAACGACTGTGCTGTTTCACTGCCCATAGGCGTTGTCTCTCCTTCCTCATGGTGCACAATGCACAGAGTCCATCCAATAGGACATTGAGAGGAGAGCATGAGCTGTCATTAGCATCCAGTCCTGCTCTGCTCCTTGACTGTGGGTGCAGTGTGACAGCCATCTTGAATCTTGATGCCATCCCAGACTCCTGCTTCTGTGACTTCTGCACTGTGATAGACACAACCTGGCACTGTGACAAAACAACCCTTCTCCCTCCAGCTGCTTTTGTCAGGTGTCTCAGCAGAGCAACAGGAAAAGTAACAATGGCAGCTGCATCCACCTGGCGTATTAGAGAGCCTCTGTCACTCCTAATTTGGAGATGCTCTATTAGAGACTGCTGTACCAGCAGACTGACACTGGATTACACTAAGGGGTCGTCCAGAGTGGAAAGGCCCAGTGTTGATGGAAACTTCAACTATAAATATCACTTTTATTGTGACTGTAAGAAGGAGCCAAACTGAAGTCATTTTGAATAAGACTTCCATCTTGAAAAGTAGGGTGAAGTCAAGATAAAGTTCCCAAGACCTCCCCAGACCTCCCCGGGTAACTGACATCACTGACATCCTGGTTGGCAGGTTGAGACCTGTATGGTGGGCAAGTCCCCCTACCACAGCTAGGTAAACCAGTCAAGACCAGTGCACCACAGGACATCTTCCTAGGAAAGTTCCCTATCCCTGAACCTTGATGGGAAACAATGTAACCGTGACTTGGTGCAGATGTTTGCAGATTTTCTGCTTAAATACTTGCTGAAAGGAACCTTCAAGGACTCAATCAGCTCCTGAGTCTGTACTGTTGTTCCCGAGCGGTTGATTTGTGATGCCCAATTCAATAAAGAACTTGCTTTGTGTGGACTCTTGAGCCTGCTTGGGCTGTTTTGGACTCTCGAATCTACAACATGACTTTATTTCTTAGAAGCTGATAATGTGAGAAAAACGAGAAACCACTTGCCCAGCTCTGGAACTCTAACTCCTGGGAAAGGGGTTGCTGGTTTTCTTTGTGGTTTGGGTTAGCCAGGGACAAAGTCAGGGGGAGTTGGCACTCTAACCTACCCAGGTGTGTCCTCTGCATCAGGGGCCAACACTGTTTGGGTGAGCAAGCACCATCTGCAGTCAGAATGCTGAAAACTGGAGGACACCTGGGTACTTTATTAAAGTTCAGCTCTATTGAAGACCACGAAAACAAAACAAAACACAAAACAGTAAATGCTCTTCTGTGGGTCTCTGTCCTTCTCTACACTGTTTCAGTTCTTTGGGATTAAGTAGCAATGTGGGAGGTCTCTTTCTCCAAAGCGTCTCTGAACTTGACAGACCCTGAGATAGGACTTTTTCTTCTACTGCTGACAGCTGATGAACTTTGGTGCAACCTCAGGTACCCAGTTATACAAAAATGTCTATACAAAACAAGCACTTACTGATAATAACTCATAAAGAAAGTTATTTTAAGACAGTTCTTGAGTTCACATATGCTTTTATCATTTACTAAAAATGGGGGCAAATTTGCACATTGTAACAGATGTGGTTATTTTTACATAAGGAACTAAATCTTGCTGAATATTTGGTAGTGCAGGACATGGAACTTTTCCATTTTTTCCAGACTTAACAATTTTGTTTTTGTTTTGCTGTTGTCGATGCTGAGAGCCCTACTTCGAATTAAGTACACAATATAAAATGGCAGACACATGTTGAGGATCATTTCAGAAGTAGTAGGAGATTATGTCTTAATTCCCAAGATGAAATTCATTGAAAGATTTTTATTTTATTTATTTTTATTTTATACTGAGTGTTTTGCCTACATGTGTGTCAGTGTACCACATGTGTATGAACAGTCCACAGAAGCCAGAGAGTTTATTAGATTTCCTGGAACTGAGTTACAGGGGCTTGTGAGCTGCCATGCAGGTGCTGGATTCTAATCTGGGTCCTTTGGATGAGCAGCCAATTTTCTTTACTGCGTCGCCTTCTCTCCAACTCCCGACACAGCAATTTTTAAAACCAAGCATTCTAACATGATGCAATCCAAAGACAGACTAATTTGATAATTACACGCTGAAGAACAACAACAGGAACACATTAAAAGTCTGTTTTCTATTACTGAGACATGTTTCTGTAAGAACAAAAACTTTGTGTACAGTAAAAACTGCAATCCATATCATACCACAGTCTCTCATTTGAAGTGCACATTTCAGAGTGTTCACTGGTGTCCTCTGGTGTGAAGGCCTCCTCTGCAAAGTGCACATGTGTGCTCAGAACAAGGTTCTAGTGGTATCAGGAGACAACACAGGCAAAACTGGGCCAGAAGTAAGAATGTGTTATACAGCTGATTTTTAATTAGTTTTTGGTCATTGTGCTTTCAGAAACATTTCAGTGTTAACAAGATCTTCACAAGCGTCACCTGTTGGACTGTAATCCACAGAGAAATGAGACCGATCAATAGAAAATGCCTAGATCTTTGTCCAAATCCTTGCAAGGGACCACAGAGGGCCAACACACCCTAGCTCTGGAGTGGCAAAGCTGTCTCACACATTCGCTCATTGTGTGTTGAGGATACACAGTTCCCAGCTCTTCTCACCCCTGTCCCAGTCAGCCCTCTTCACTCCTGCACTAGGATCCAGTCTCTTGCCTCACTCCAGGCTGAACTTTTCATATCCTTCAGCAAATGCTGTCTTCAGTGGCAGCTTAAAGCCCACGTTTCCTCCAGGCTTCTCTGGAGTGAGCAGGTCAGCAGCCTTCTTTTTCCTTTGTCCACTCCAGCCACCATGCAGCAGCCCTAGTGATTCTGTGCATGTGAGTCACCATCCAGAGTCTCCCCTCCCCCAATCTTCTAAGGGCCTTTCTTGATTCTCCTTAGACTGCAGGTGCCATGTCACCTACCCATAAGCTCTTCTGTCCTTCCCATAATTAGGCTGGGAGCCCCTGCTCTCCTGCTCCAGCAACACCCGTTTGCTGTCTTAACTCTTGTGTCCCCACATCTGTGTCCCTGTGTTGTATACCCTGAAAGCATGATTGGTCCCTTTTACATGTTCCTCAAAACTGGGAGTTTGCAGACACAATGTTCACAGATGAGAAAACAGAATTCCAAGTCAGGAAAAAGTCAGGTCAAATTCTGACAGGTGGTCCCCAAGTGAGCAGGGAGCATCCCCAGAGGATCATTTGTGAGCCTCTTTTCTTTTTTCATACAATATGAGTTTCGGGTATACTGAAGTTATCCTAGGGATGGAGCAAAGCTCAGCTGTGGCTGGGACGAAGTGCAGGCTGAGTTCATCTAGGTAGCCACTGTGCAAGGTACACTGGAGACCAGAGTCCATGAGACTGCCACCTCAGGGGACTGACTCACTTCTGTTGAAGGAGGGAGAAGAAAGAAGGGGACTGGGAGTGCCTGGGGTCCTTGGGTGTGTGTGGGGGGGGGGATGGGTGGGGTGTGCAGGTTCAGCTAGGTGAAAATGGAAAGCAAAAGAGAAGTTAACTCAAAGTGAACTCTGAGCTCCTTTGGGCTACCTGGCAGTTGCGATTTCCCAGGCCAGCCAGGATGGCAGCATCTGGACCCTTCCCGCTGCTGGTGGAGGGGTTTTGGGGCCCCAACCCCTCGAAGACTTTAATCAACAAGTTGCAAATGTACTTCCAGAGTCGGAAGAAGTCCGGTGGAGGGGAGTGCGAGATAGTCCTGCAGCCTGGGAGCCCAGCAGCGAGCTTCCTGGTACTCTTCTCTGAGGACGGTGAGGGGCACAAAGGTCTCACAGTGCGGGGTTTGAGACTACAGGTGGCAGGCCCAGAACTGGGCTGCAGTGTCATGGGAGCTGGAGATCCTGGGGCACAAATCTGGGTGGCGAGCACATCCAGGAGTGGTGATTCCCCTTGCTCTTCCAGGAGCTTTCTGATGTTGTGAACCTTTCTGGGCTTTGCGTTTTCTTCCTTTCTTCCTTCGCAAGTTCCTTCCTCTCTGTCTCCCTCCCTCCTTCTCTCCCTCTCTCCCTCTCTCCCTCCCTCCCTCCCTCCCTCCCTAGCTTCTTCCTTCCTTAATTTCCCATTTTTATTATTCAAGTGGTACAGTTAAAGAATTAAGAATCTTGAGGAGTTGTGGATCATCTAGCACCAAGGGGTTCTAGCTAGGGAGGGGTGTCTTTGCCAGGTGAGCTTGAGGAGGGAAAAGCCCAGGAGTTCTTGTGGCACAGCCTGGACAAAGTTCCTGCTTTGTCCTTCTGCCCCAGGGTGGCCTCAGGTGGCTATGATATTTGAGCCTGTGTGGGAATGGAAGTGGGGTGAGGGTTACCTCATCTCTGAAAGGCTCCAGAACAGATGAGCAGTTGAATGTTCCCCACTCCTGTCTGAAATCTGCAAGGGAGGCCCAGCCTTGTTTGCTCATCAGGTGGGTGATTGGAAGCCCCGGACCTGTGGCTTCTGGAAGGCCACCATTAGTTCCCACCTGAGATTTTGTAGACCAGGGTCATCCTCAGAATGCAGACAATCCCTTCTTCTCCTTGAGTTTGGAGAAACATTTGGGGTAGAGGAGGGGCAAAGAGAACTAGGAAGCCAGGCTGTAGACAAGATAACAGCCCAACAGTGATCCAAAAAGAAAAAAGTGGAAAGAGAGTGGTGTAGAGGGTGTAGACACAGGTTTTCAGAAAGCCTGGGCAAGAATTGTATTGTCCTAGGTTTGATTTCACCAGTGATCTGGGCATGGCAGTACATGCTTTGACCCCAGCACTTGAGAGACAGAGGCAGGCAGGTCTCTGTGTGTTTGAGTCCAGCCTGGTCTACAGAGCAAGTTCTAAGCCAACCAGGGCTACATAGTAGCCTTGTCTTAACAAAGCAACATAAACAAATAAACAATACCACTCCAGTAAGTTTAGGGGAAGGGGGATGGCTCACTGGGTTAAATAGTTTGCTGTATAAGCAGGAGGACTGGAGTTTGAATCTCCAAACCCTTGTAAACAGCTGGGCATGGCTACACGTACCTGGTGTAGAGAGAAGGAATGGGCAGATCATATCAAGCCTAGCCAAAGGGCAAACTTCAGATTCAGTGAGATTGCATGTTTCTAGGCAGGAAGGCAGAGAGCAATGCAGGGAAATGCCCAGTGTCCTGCTGTGACCTCCATGTGACCAGGGGTGTGCACTGCTCCATATGCCCACACGTCTACAACATGAATAATGTATACACAGTGATATTCACATTTCTGTGCTAAGTTCTCCTTCTTTTACAAGGGCTTGCTGCTTAGGCAGATGGGCTGAGCTGCTGGCTCATAATGGTGAATTTGTAGAAATCATGAACTAATTATGTAAGTAAAGATTGCTTCCAATTTGGCTTAAAATCTTTGTTCTTTTTTCAATGTTTCAGTTCTGCAGAATGTTCTGGAGAAAGGGAACCATGAGTTAGTGTGGCCAGGAAAAGGGACATTTAAGTTAACTGTCTGGTTGCCTAAAGACCCAGATGAAGCCTTAGTCTCTAAGGAGGCAGTTCCAGGAAAGGTAAGGACATGGGGTGTTATTCCAAGGTGCGTGGGATTCTCTCTGATGAATATGGTGTTGATGAGCTGGGTGAGGTGGTAGTCACCTTTAATCCCAGCACTCAGGAGGGAGAGGTAGGAGGATATTTATGAGTTCAAGGCTAGCCTGATCTACATAGTTAGTGAGTTTAGACCAGCCAAAGCTACATAGTGAGACCATGTCTCAAAAAGAAAAATGGTTGATGATGGCCTAAGTCACAGTAGCCTGAGAATGGCAGCTAGGGACTCTGGCGGGAACAAGGACTGTAAACAATGGAGAAGCTGTCATTTTTGTCACTTTTGCAAGACTCAAGACTGGGAGACTTAATAGTAATTAATTTGGGATGTCAAAGTTGTATCCATTGGTCTTGGTGTCTTTATACCCAGAAGCCTGACATTCTGTTTCCATCATCTTGAGGCCAACAGTGTACCCGGCGTGTGCTGTTCCCTCAGCTGTGAAGAAGATTGTCAGGGACCCCTTTGAAGTATGTGCACCGTGTTCATATAGTAAACATGAACTAAGTGCCAAGTCAGGCAAACCATGGGCTAAACTGCCTTAATGGACAGTTCTGTGTGTGTCTCATTTTATCAGTGATTATTGTGACCAGCAAGAAGACACGCTGTGACATGTAGCCTCTGATCCATTCCCTAGCCCAGTATCCAAATGTGTCATTATCATTTCAAATAATTTACATCTCCAGTCTGGCCCAAGAGGTGTTTTATTTATATATCAAATGATTCACAGTTGCTGGGCAGTAGAGGCACATATCTTTAATCCCAGCACAGGTGAGGCAGAGGCAGGTAGATCTTTGTGAGTTTGAGGCCAGCCTGGTCTACAGAGTGAGTTCCGGGACAACCAGAACAATTACATAGAGAAACCCTGTCTCAAAAAAAAAAAAAAAAAAGTAAATAAATAAAACCAACCAAACAAACAAACAAAAATTATTCATGTATTAATGCTGTCTTCCTGTTTGGGTTTTAGGAATCCAAGACAAAAATAGAAGCTGCAGGAAAAGGTGAGTCTCAGCTAAGGCAACCCTGGTGTTCACCAGGCAGTTGTGTGTTTATTAAACAGGTAGCTTGGGAGAGCTTCCTCTAGTTTCACACCAGGCAGACTCTGCTCAGCTTGGAACCACCTGCAGTTGCATCATCTTTTCAGTCCAGACCAGAGATATTTGAAGCATTCGAAGAAGGAACCCATTCAGCTCTTTAGGCTCCCTTCAGAGGAACAGGACTTTTTTTTCTGCCGAGAGACATCTACAGCTGAGAAGAGGAGAAAATTGAGAGATGGAGATGGACACTTGTGCTTTGGTGGCCAGTAATAGCAAGGACAGGACTTGTAGTGGATGCTCGCTGTGTGCCTCTCTGGGTAGCACCAGCTCTTCCTTCCTCAATTGCACAGGAAACAGCCAGCACTGGGGCTGGGATCAGGTCTCCTGCTGTGCTGGTGGGTGGGTCCTGCTCAAGACTTAAATGAAGGAACAGCTAATAATACCTGTGTAAAGGGCACCAAATGAAGAACCATACTGAATAAGGTGATCAAGACAACCAAGAGATGCAGACACTCAAGTCTTAGGGAAATGAACTCTTTCCCTCCATAACTCTGCCTTCTGGCCTGGAGATGGGGTCTCTCACTGAACCTAAGTTTGCCCCTTTGGCTAGGCTTGCTGGTCAGGGAGCTCTTGGGATCTGCCCATTTCTGCTCTCCACACTGGATAATAATACCCATGTAAAGGGCACCAAATGAAGAACCATACTGGATAAGGCAAGCAAGAACAACCAAGAGATGCAGACACCCAAATCTTAGGGAAACAAATTCTTTCCCTGCAGCACTCTGCCTTCTGGCCTGGAGATGGGGTCTATCAATGAACCTAGGTTTGCCCTTTTGCCTAGACGTGTTGTCCAGGGAGCTCTGTGAATCCGACCATTTCTGCTCTCCACACTGGGCACGTGTAGCCATGCCCAGCTCTTTACAAGGGGGCTGGAGATTCAAGCTCCAGCCCTCACACTTACACAGCATGCTGTCTAACCCAGGGAGTCATTCACTGATGCTGTTACAGTGTAATCTTTAAACTCTTACTTTGTTAGCACGAGTATGTACACAGCTTCCTATACCTTTGCTCCTCCAGGGAGGCCAACAGTAGTTCTCTAAAGCAGTGGTCACCTGATGAGCCTCAGCTGTCTGCCGTGTGTCCACAGCACAGAGATGAAGACGCTACCCTAACTGTAGAAGCTTGGTTCTGTAATCACAGTCAAGTACTTGAAAGACATATACAAGGGAGGATTCCCCTTCCTCAGAAAGACAGAGCAGAAAAAGTAAATGAAATTGAATTAGTGATGACAACAACAACATCAAAGGAAAAGAAACCAATGCTACTATTTGTTTATAGTTTACTATCAACAAGAGCAACAAAAACTCACGGTATTAAATTTTAGAATTTTGATTTTCTTCATTTTTGAACTTCCTCTGTAGACCAGGCTGGCCTTGAACTCACAGAGATCTATTGACTGAGGTTTCTGCCCCACATGGTTCCACAGCTGTTCAGTCCCAAAGAAGCATACAGAAATTATAAACAGGTTGACCTATTAGCTCAGGCTTCTTATAAACTCTTAAATCCTACATTAACCCATAATTCTTGTCTGTGTTAACCACATGGCTTGGTACCTTTCATCAGCGAGGCATTCTCATCTTGCTTCCTCTGCATCTGGGTGACGACTGTAGACTGAGCCTTTCCTATTCCCAGAATTTTCCTGTTCTGGTTGCCCCTGCTATACTTCCTCCCTGGTCACCCCACCTATACGTCCTGCATGGCTACTGGCCAATCAGTGTTTTATTAAAGCAATACAAGCAACAAATCTTTACAGGGTAGAAGAAAATTGTCTCACAGCAGATATCTGCCTGCCTCAGCCTCCTAAGTGCTAGGACTAAAGGTGTATACTACCATGCCAGGCTACATTTTAATTTTTAATTCACTAAAGCAAAAGATCCACTACCTAATGTTTCCTTTTAGCAGAGTTAGCCAAGATATGGGAATGGGAAGAAGGTTGTGTCAGGACAATTTACTTACTAGAACCATGATTTAATACTTTACACCTGTCATTGTCATATCTGATTTCCTCAGATGATTTGGATACAACACATTCTCCCAGCAACAGATCAGAAAAAATGGAAGATGTCCCCAAAGAACATGAAACTGTTTCCTCCATGGTGGCTTTTGAAAACCTGTCTGAGAAAGTGACTGACATGGTGCTGACCATCCTAGTTGAGAATATAAGCGGCTTCCCCAGTGACGACTTTAAGGTGGAAGTGATCCGAGATTTTGGCATTGCCGTGGTTACCTTTCAGAAGCCTATAGGTGAGCCCCAGGCCCAGGGAGGCCCTGCATCCCCAGGGTTCTGTCCACCACACCCCAGGGTCTAAGATATTTCTGAGTGTTTGACACATTGTTGCATTGTGTAAATGAGGCTGCTAAGCCAATACAGGTGGCTTTCCCCTCAGATTTTGGAAAGATGAACAAATTCATTTTGAGATCCAATTTGGGTCTGTTTAATAGGCTGCCCTTTATTATATGATTGTTTGAGCGGGTGGGGTGGGGGGTATGGGGATCAATAGAAAGTCCCAGGCGATTCCAAGTAGAGGAGTTTGAACTCTTCCTCTACTTCCCCAGGAGGAGTTAAGACTGGCCTGTTACCATGCCAAACTTCTGTAGGCAATGATGCCAACGGACTTACTCTAGTGCTTAGTGTCAGGCATCTGCCAATCTCTGCATGTGTTAATTTATTCTTTCCTTTCAACAACCCTATGAAGGGCTCCATGTTGCTGAGATATGGAGGAGAAACTGGTGTTGAGCCTGGGCAGCCAACTTCCACTCCATTTTTCCTATCATTTTACCACACTTCTCCTTGGTGTAACCGTTTCATGGTCATACATGTGGAGAAGAGGGAGACCTCTTAATGGGGAAAATGAGTGCCCCAGCCAGCAAGATGGCAGAACTGGCAAAGGCACTGCCCCCAAGTCTGACAGCCTGAGTTTGATTTCTGGGACTCATATAAGTTGCCCTCTGACCTCCAGATGCACACACACACACACACATGCACTGGCATGTGCACACACATAAACATGGAAAAGAAAATGACTGCTCTGTTAGGTCATTGTCATAAGCAAGATTCAGCTCCACCTAAAACATGGCAGATTTCCAAATCTAAGCCCCATGTCCCATGGGCACAGCAGTGGGTGTCAGTCAAGTTAAGAGGGGGTGTGGTCAGAATTCTGGCCCTGTCACTTAACTAGGTGTATGAAGCTGACCAAGCAAGTTATTATTTTCTCTGTTCCTTACCCACTCATCCTTAAAATGGGGATGATTATACTTACCTAAATTCCTATGAAGATTGGTGAGATGGTACCTCAGACATGGTAAGGATTTGATAAAGGACATTTATTTCAAGTTTATTATTATTTACTATAAAGGGAAATTTAAAGATTTGTTTATGTGTACATGCCTGCATGTGTCTGTGTACCACATGCATGCAGTGCCTGAAGAAGCCAGTAGAGGGCCTTGGATTCCCCTGGAACTGGAGTTACAGATGGTCGTGGGCTTCCAAGTGGATGCTGGGAACTGAATCACAGTCCTCTGCAAAGGCTGCAAGGGCTGTTAACCTCTGAGCCATCTCTCCAGACCCATAAAGGGAAATTTAAATTGAAATGATCTTGTGTCTGTTCACTGATCAACAATCTTGAGTGCATTCTGTGTTAGCTTCTGTTACTGTAACAAACACCTGAGGTCGTCAGCCTCCAAAAAGAGAGGTTTATGCCAGTTCACAGTCTGGGTGGCTTCAGTTCATGGTTGGTTAGCCCTGCTGCCCTGGGGCTTATGTTGAAGCGATATGCATGATGGCAGCATATAGGAAAGAGAGAGACAGAGAGACAGAGACAGACAGACAGATAAGAGACACAGACAGAGACAGACCGACCGAGATAAAGAGAGACAGACAGACAGACAGACAGACAGAGATAAAGAGAGAGAGAGAATGAGAAAAGAGAGGGGGGCAGGGACGTCTTATCCCTACCTCCCCCATCAATGACTGGGACATTTCCCACAGGCCTCACTTGTTAAAGGATTCACTACTTCCCATAGCACCTGGGTGAGGACTAAGACTTTAACACATGGGCCTCAGGACAGTTTCCTTCTAAACTATGGCCACTGTTATGGGCCAGGTACTGGTCTAGGGGCTGATGCACAAAGATGACTAAAGTCATTGTTCCCTCTCTAGAGGAACTCAGTCTGGGAGGAGGAGGCATGTGTGTCAATGAATAATGGAGAAGAAAGAGAGTCTGTCTCCCAGGTGTAGTAACCTGAGAAGGGTGGAGACAGGACCGTGCATAGTTGTCCCCACCTGAGTGTGTCCTCAGCAGTGTCACCTGACCATCTCCACAGGACACCAGGCTTGTTCATACTGGCACTGCTCCCTCCTCTTATCCATTTGACAACCCCTGCTTTAGTGTTCAAATTAGAGACCATATATAGTCCTTATACTGTCCATGTTTCAGTTTCGTTTCATCTGTTCCTTATTGGAGCTTGAAAAGGCAATTCAACTGTGCTCAATACCCATATCTTCCCAGTGATACACAAGCAAGGACTTGTATTTATTTCTCAGATCCAGGCACAATAATTGGCACGTGACAGACCCACCACCTATGATGATAATTGAGAAGAGACAATTAGGCTTATTCCTGAAAATAAATAGGATCCACTGAAAAAAATAGAGGAGGGAGGGATGTAGACATAGCCTTATTTTGGGAGCATGGCTTAATTTGATCCTTATCATTACAATAATACAAAAATATCTCTGTCTTCCATATTGGAGACTGGACCTTGTAGTCACGGGCACTGCAGCCAACAGGCAGTTGTATATACAAGTACAAAAGGAATTTCAAAAACATGACTAATTGGTTTTCTTTTGTTGTTGGCTTTTCTTTTTTGGTTTCAGGTTTTTGAGCCAGGGTTTCTTTGTGTATCCTTGGCAGTGCTGAAACTAGCTCTGTAAACCAGGTTGCCCTTAAACTCACAGAGATCTGCTTGTCTCTGCTTCTGAAGTGCTGAGGTTAAAGGCATGATTACCAACACCTGACTCATGACTAGTTTTTCAAGGAAACATAAAAATAAAACTGAAAGTGCTGCTTTGATGTGTGCTTGGATTCAGTAGCCTGGCTGTAGATGTGGGCTCCTACCTGCTGCCATAGTGGGCATAAATGGCCTTGAGAAATTGGGGAGAGGGGTAGCATTGTAAGGAGTCTGCTCAGGAGGGTTGTCCATGGCTAAAGGACAGCTCAGTAGCAGAAAATACAGTAACTGGATAGTTCAGCATTCTGGGTTTTAGCAAAGACACTTCTTTCATACCATATAGAGATGTCATCAAAATTTTCTCATTTTATATTTGTTTTGTAGATATCAAAAAATTTATTAGTGATTGTATCGGTCACCATTTGAACGGAGAGCTACAGCTTGCGCCGAGACTTCTGGAAACAACAAATGTAGTTAGGGTGGAAAACCTGCCTCCTGGGGTAGATGACTACCAGCTACAGCTCTACTTTGAAAACCCTTTCAATGGGGGCGGAAGAGTCACCCAGGTAGAGTGTTTCCCAGAAGAGAGCTCGGCGCTGGTTGAGTTTTCAGACAGCAAAGGTAATGTGTCTTGGTCTGCCACCCAGGAAGACCTGGACGGTTGGCCTTTTCAGCTATTCCTTAATTTGTCAGAAATGACACCAATCTCTCATTCATCTGGATTTGGTGCAGAACGAGGGCAGCAAGGCAGGCTCTGGAGAAGCAGCACAAGCTCATGAGAGACAGGGAGAGTCTCTGACGAGTCCAGCCTATGACTGAAGGTCGCCATTCTAGGAACGTTGACAGGCCATACTCACCACCATAGATCTGTGTTTTATGTCCCTGCATTGATTCTCTAATCAACAAGTTTAGGGAGAGATGGACTCAGAAGCATGTAGAGTTCTAGAAAGCGTTCCTCTTCCCCCTGTGCTGAGATGGGATAATGGAGATTTCTCATATCCTCAGTAGGAGATGGAAGTCCTGTTGTTGATGACATCATCAGTGGTTCTTGAGTCAGACAGACTTGAGTTACAATCCTGACTGGAGGTCACTGGCATGGTGACCTTCGTGAGCCCTCAAACCTTCTGTTTTCTCATCTGTAGAGGTAGTGTTGGAGTTACCTCAGAGGATGCTGTAGGAGGAAAGGAAACAGTCCCTCAGCAGTGCTTGGCCTAAGGGGGTGCTGAGTCTGAGCTGGAGGTCACTCAGGCTGTCCACAGGGCTGGTGCCCTGTGGGAGGTTGGGCTTCTGAAGGTCACATTCCTTCCCTCAGGCCTGATAGCTGCCCTAGGACTGAGTCCTTCACCAGGGTATTATGTTTTAGCACCTTTTCTCTCATGGGTGCTATTTAAATCCAAGTTGTGGGATTGATTCTAATTTCCATGCTGATACTACTTACGCATGCCAACAGCTAAAACAAAGTGAGGTGAGTCCTGGAGAAAGAGAGAGAGAAAGTGAGTATTCAGTCAGGGTGGGATGTGGTGGCTGTCCTGGTACACATGGTGACCGGGAGATATAATGAGGAAGGCCTTACTAAATTGTGACCTCTGGGGCTGGACTCTCTAATGACTCTAATGACTGTGAGGATGATTTTGCTTTGGTATAGGAACAAGACCATGGTATCCGGGTTGACTCATACTGGCAGTTAGCTCAGATACTTCCCTTGGTTTATAGAACCCTGACTTTCCCCAGCCTCAGCTTTCTCACCTCTATCTATGGGTATAATGGAATCTCTACCCAAAGGCCACTGTCAAGAGCAAACACAGGAAATTCATGTAATGCCCTTGAGAAAGTGACCCAGAGTGCCGGTAGAATTATCTTCTCCTGTGAAATGAAGTTACCTATGGAAGTTAAATTCTGGGACTCTAAAGTAAGGGATGGATGCAGCATAACCTTCCTGGATGATTAAAATATTTTTATTATTTATTTATTTTTAAATTTATGTGCATTGGTACTTGTCTGCAAGTACATGCATGTGAGGATGTTGAATCTCCTGGAACAAGAGTTACAGACAATTGCAGCTGCTGTGTGGGTGCTAGGAATTGAACTTGGGTCTTTCAGAAGAGGGGCCTAGGGCTCTTAACTAATGTGACATCTCTACAGCCCTTAAACCATTCCTTGTGTTGGTACAAACGCCAACCCCATGCTTGTGTCCAAATTTATGGCTATTTCTTATTATGCCACATACATCAGTGACATCAGAAAAACGATAAATTCTAGCATGATTTCAGTGTAGAGAAATTTGGGTTTAAAGTCATGGTAGCCATAAATGGAGTCTGTCTTGTTGTGGTTAGTTAATATCAGTCTATAGCTGAGCACATGGGAGAATGCAACCTTTGAGTTCTACAAACATCAGAGACTTTTGCCCTCTAAAAAAATTTTTTTTGTGTTGTGTCTTTGGAAATGCATGATATTGAGATTACTGTAATTTATTTATTTATTTGTTTGTTTCCTTATTTTGTTTTTAAAGTGTTAGGCACCATTCTGGCCAAGAAGCACAGTTTCAACAGGATGCCACTGTCTGTCTTCCCCTATTATCCTTCTTTGGGCACAGCCTTGTATGGAGAGGAGAAGCCGCTGGTCAAGCTTCCAGCATCTTTCCAAGAGTCACTGGGCCTTCCTTTGTGGAAGTTCTTCCAAAAAAATAATCATCTGATTGAGGAGATAAATGACCAAATGAGACGCTGCCGTTGCGAGCTAACATGGTCTGACATCAACGGCACAGTGACCGTCAGACCTGCTGCCACCTTAGTCAGTCACAGACCAAGCATCAAGACCTGGCAGAGAGACGCCTCCGAGGTGCTGTCTGGCATCAAGGCTAAGTATGAAGTTAAAGTGTTTGAAGTGTATCCGCCAGTGTGGGACATCATACAGCATGAGGTAGGAGATGACAGGGTTCTCATTGAGTTTGATAAGGAGAGTCTCACCTTAGCCGGAAAATCAGAAGATGTCCAAGACATCGGCCAGAAAATCAAGGAGTTAATAGATAGCACCACGGAAAAGGTCAGAAAGGAGGAGCAGAGTCGGAAGGAGAAAGTGGCCATTTCTCCAGGGAAACATTTTCTTTTGGAACACAGTGGTTCCCTGGATGATCTAAGGAAAGAGAACCCAGAGGTGGAGATTTATTACGATGCTGCCACTCAGCACCTGTGCTTTAAGGGATTCCGTGCAGATGTGTATAAAGTAAAGTGTGACATCCAGGAAAAGGTGTATTCCATGGCTCAGAAAGATGTCCCGATTCCTTCTGAAGTCTTCATGTTTCTGCAGCAAGTAGACAGTCAGGAATTCTGCAAGACTCTTTTTGAAGCACAGAAGATTCTTGCCACGTATGAGCTGAATGGTACAGCTCTTCTTTTGATGGCCTGTTCTTTCAGAGCCCTGGCAGAAGCAGAGAAGAAAATGCTTGATGCTTTGAGTTATAAAATCATTGAAGTTGAAGACAAGGAAGTATTCAGAGGCAATGCGTGGAAAAGGAAAATTCACCCTTTGCAAAAAAGACACTCCTCCACTGCAAGCATTATGATAAAAAATGAATTGACTTCAGGAACTCCGGCGGAGGTCATCATTGCAGGCTGTGTGAAAGAAGTAAATGAAATCCATGGCCAAATTTTTGAGTTCTTGGAGAACACCATGAAAATTGAAAGGCTCGTAGAAATAGAACCATTGTTGATTATGGAGTATTTAAGGGCAGATAAGAATCTGTTCTGGCCAAAGATAAGGAAGGCCAATGTGCAGGCAAGTTTTAAGCTGGAAGACGAACCAAAAGGCATTTTACTAACTGGCTACAAGAGTAAAGTTCTAGAGTGCATGGACATGGTCAGGCAAATCCGGGATTCAGTCTGCATTAAAAGGTTCCAGATTGATAAGCCTGGTGCTAGGCAGTTCTTCCAGGACAAAGCATCCTATTACAAAAGCGAGATCAAACGCCTGTATGGATGCATCATTGAGCTCCAGGAGGGAGCAGAGAAGGACAAAGGCAGCCTTAAAGAGCAGAAGTGCCTCTTACAGAAGGACATAGCCCCTGGAGTCACGCTGATTGTACAGCAGGGAGACCTGGCTCGGTTTCCTGCTGATGTTGTCGTGAATGCGGCAAACGAGAATCTGAAACACATTGATGGTCTGGCCCTCGCTCTTTCAAATGCAGCTGGTCCTGAACTTCAAGCAGAATGTGACAAAATAGTGAGAAAGGGTGGCGTGGTCAAAACTGGCAATGCCGTTATCTCAAAACCAGGCAAGCTCCCTTGCCATCATGTCATCCACGCAGTAGGGCCTCGATGGGACGGAAATAAGGCCCAGGAGTGCGTGAGCCTGTTGAAGAGAGCTGTGGAACGAAGTCTCACCTTAGCTGAGGAGGTCAAGTGTCAATCCATAGCCATGCCAGCTATCAGCTCTGGAATCTTTGGCTTTCCCTTAGACAAGTGTGTGGCCACCATTGTTTCAGCCATCAAAGACCACTTCCAACGCCAACCAGACAGGCGCACCTTGAAAAAGATTTATCTGGTGGACATATCTGCAAAGGTTGCTGCGGCCTTTGCTGAAGCTGTAGAAACTACATATAAAGCCTCCCTCTCCCCAACAGCTTCCCCTTCCAGTTTACAAGCTTTAGAATTAGTGCCACCTGGGAAAACGCCACAGAAACTGCAGGCACAGGACTATGTGCTGGTGTCCCCAGAAGGCCTGAAAATCCGGCTGGTGGAAGAAGGTGTGCAGAATGCCAAGGTGAGTGTCCCTGTCACCAACAATGTGCTGTGATGTCACTGGCGTCTGCCAGGTTTATTGAGGACCAAAGCAAGACAGGGTGGAAAGAAAGGACTGAAAAAAATTCCCTACTCTCCTACTCGGACCTTCAGACATTTTCCATGGATACTGGACTTCTTCACAAATCACTTAGGAGTAGAGATTGGTGTGTCTGTAAGGATCTAAAGGGCTCTGGGATAGGTCACTCCTTCCCGGTAACTGTGGTCCATAGCAGGGGACACTGCACGGCTCTCCTCATCTTCATCATTTCCCACCTGTTGTGTCTGCTCCATCTAGTGCTGGCTTCTGTCAGTTACAGGTGTGGGAGAGCATGGGGAACGCAGGGGATAGGATTTAACCAATGACACGAGGAAGGGTGACCTTGGGTGCTGGAGTGGACGAGGGAGCTCAATTCCCAGAACCCATCTGTGGGTCCTTTGTGAGGAAGGAGTGGGCAGGAGGAAGGGCCAGATGTTGGTCTCGTTTTGTGAATTTGTTGCAGGAAACTAATGTCCTAGTAATCCTCCTATCTCAGTCCTACAAACACACACACACACACACACACACACACACACACACACACACACACACACACGTGATAGAAGCATGACCAAGCACTTCTTCTTCTTCTTCTTCTTCTTCTTCTTCTTCTTCTTCTTCTTCTTCTTCTTCTTCTTCTTCTTCTTCTCTCTCTCTCTCTCTCTCTGTTTCATCCTTCAGCCCCAGATTGTGTGTGTATATCTCTGTGTGTGTGTGTTTAGCTGAGCATGGTAGCACATGGTTTTTAATTTTTACATTTGTAAGACAGAGGCAGGCAAATATCTGTGAGTTTAAGTCAAGCCTGGTTCACATAGAATTACAGTCCATCCAGGGCTACATAGTGTGACCTGTTGTCCCTCCCTTCTTCCTGAAAAGTATTTAATACCTTTTACAACACAGACTCTACTCATTGGAACCGTAGCTATCTGAAGCACGGCAGGCTAGTACCTGCTTCCTGACCAGTAGCTGCATGTCGCTCTGCATGGATATAGCTGCATCCTCCTGGGAATGTCTGCCTCATGCTTCTGTCTGCTTTGGGGGCAGGAGGTGGTATTAGGCTCAGAGTTGGAAATCTGCCCTTTATGTCACTTAGATAGGTCTGAGCATTTTGATTTGTGTTCTGCTTTTAAGACAAATGCTTGGTTTAGACTCAGTTGAAAGAGCATTTGCCTAGCAGGCATGAAGTTCTGGATTCCCTTAGAACTGCATAAGCATGGTGTGGAGGCACTTGTCTGTATAAGAAGCATTAGGCAGATGGAGGGAGCAGGATCAGAAATTCAAATTCAACACTATCCTTGGCTACACAGTGAATTTGAGGCAAGCCTGAACTCTATATGACCTTGTTTATTTAAAAAAAAAAGAAGAGAAGGAAGCTATTACAACAACACAAAGAAAACAAACATCATAATTTAGAGAATATTTGTTAAAAATTTGTCATTTTTTTTTAATTTATGTGTATGTGTTTGTGACTGAGTGAGCGAATGTTATAGTGATGGAGGTGAGCAGGCCTGCTTTTCGTCCTGCCCAGCTCTTGCATGGCTAGCTTAGCCCCAGAATAATTACACAGAAACTGTATTCATTTAAATACTGCCTGGCCCATTAGTTCTAGCCTCTTATTGGCTAACTCTCACATCTTGATTAACCCATTTCTAATAATCTATGTACCACCACAAAGTGGTGGCTTACCAGGAAGATTCTAAGCACCGTCTGTCTTGGGTAGGAGAAGCATGGTGACTGCCTCACTGCCTTCTTCCTCCTAGCATTCTGTTCTGTCTTCTCCACCTACCTATGTTCTGACGTATCAGGCCAAGCAATTTTCTTTATTAATTAACCAATGAAAGCAACAGATAGATAGAAGACACTCCTACATCAGAATGTCACATGTGTGCGGAAGTCCTGAGGCCAGAAGGCAGTGTCAAATCCTTTGGAGATGAACTCCAGGTGGTTGTGAGCCACATGCGTGTATGCTGGGAACTGAACCTGCGTCCTCTGGAAGAAGAGCAAAGGCTCTTAACTGCTGAGCCAGCTTTACAATCTCTACAGCGAAATTTTACCCAAACCTTGAAAGCTTTGTTTAAAGAACAAGATCAAAGTCCTAAATTATCACCATTGGGTGTCACTTGTCCCTATAACGTTTAAATAGCAAACAGGTGGATGGATGTGCTGGCTATGATAATCGATGACATGAACTAGATGCTGTAACCCTGTCTTGCTTTAAATTGTTTTCAAGAGAAAGTGTCCTTAAGCATCCACAAGAACAGTTCTTGTTGTCTTGTGACCAGCAGTGATACAACTGAAACTTTTAAAAAAAAATATCTTTATTTCATGTACATTGGTGTTTTGCCTGAAAGTTGGTCTATATAAGAGCATCAGATCCCCTGGAACTGGAGTTACTGACAGTTGTCAGCTGCCCTGTGGGTGCTGGGAATTGAACCCGTGTCTTCTGGAAGAGCAGCCAGTGCTCTTACTTCCTGGGCCATCGCCCCAGACCCACAAATGGACATTTTAACCTGGACATGCTGCTGCAGCATGTTCTCACAGGCTAAGCTGAGAAAAGCTAAACATCATTTTAACAGTTGTATATTGTATAAACAGTGTTGTATAACTCACAGTTCACACTTTGAGTGGGCGCATCAGTGGTTTTCTCTATATTCAGTAAAAATGAACATGGAAGGTCTCAGTGTTGGGGCTCATGTAGGAATAATTCTTGCAGTGTGAACATTAGTTTGTGTGTGTGTGTGTGTTTGTAACCACAATCAACCATACTTGTAATCTAATTGCAGTGCACTCTAATCCCACCAGAAAGAAATTTGTGCCCATTAGCAGTTGCTCTTAATTTATGCACCTGCTCACCCCACCTTCCTAACTATAGAGAACATCTAATCTTCTCTGTTGTTGTTTGATTTTTAATTTTCATTTTGAAACCAGGTCTTACCACACAGCTCTGGTGTTCTGGAACTTGCAATGTGGACCAAGCTGGCTTTGAACTCACAGAGATTCACCTGCCTCTGTCTCCTGAGTGCTGGGATTAAAGGCATGTGCCACCACACCTGGCTCTATAGATTCACCTGTTCTTGAGGTTTCATATAAATGAAATCATATATTTGTGTCTTTTAAGACCTGTCTCTTTTATGGATGGGAATTCTTTCAGTGGTCACCTGTACTGTAGCATATATCAGTATTAAATCCCATTAGTGGCTGTATAATATCCTATTAGATGAAGATACATTTGTTCTACCCAAACAATGGACGTTTGAATTGTTTCCACTCTCACTTTTATGAGTTTTGTTACTCTGAACATTAGTCACAACATGTACAAACAACTGTTGTTTTCCTTTTGTCAAACACAGTTACTCAAATGTCATCATGGTTGATGAATTCCTTTACTAAGAATTTGAAAGAAATCTTTGGTTTTGTCTTTAAGACCCATGTCGTTGTCAACTCTGTTTCCTTGGATCTTTCACTCAACAAAGGACCCCTTTCTCAGGCCTTACTGGAAAAGGCCGGGCCAGAACTCCAGAAGGAACTGAATGAAGCAGGACAAGGGGTCTCTGTCAAGGCAGGCACAATCCTACAAACCAGTGGCTGTAACCTGAACTGCCACCACGTATTTCATGTGGTCGCTCCACAGTGGAAAGTCAACAACAGTGCATGGTCACTGAAGGTAGGACCCAGCTTTACATTCTCCAGGACATGGGGTAGCTCTCTGGACTCCCCTACAGCACACCACAGCTAGTCCCTGTCTGCTTCTTCTCTGGGACAGCATCATGAGTTTGGCAAGTTCCATATTACGACCATTTCTTTTCAATTGTAGATGACTTCTTGTAGGTCATAGTTCATATTGGTCATAGTTAGAAATGTAAGTTGGTTATTGTGCTCAGCAATTACTGATGGTCAGGGAAGGGTGGGGAATAGACTACATTTATTGAGGAAAGGTAAGGGGAGGGCTTGAAGCTGGGAGACAGTGATGGACTGGACAGCTGTGGCTTCCCCTCTGCTTATGGTGGAGTGAGTCTGTGCTCTTGTAAGGGTGTCCACGTTCTCTTTCTCATTTCTTCTCCTCAGTTTCCCCTCACACTGCTGCTAACTTTTGTTGAAAGCACAATAGAGTGGACAGTGCTCCCAGGACAAGCTGCTGAGTGCTTACTGTTTAGGGTTCCCCATTTCTAAACAGGACATCTAAGAAGCTGCTCTGTGCTTTCCAGATCATGAAAAACATCATCAGAGATTGTCTAGGAACCACCGAGGCATGGTCTCTGCAATCAATTGGATTTCCAGCAATAGGAACAGGAAATCTGGGGTTTCCTAAACCCGAATTTGCTAAATTAATAATTTCAGAAGTGCTCAAATTTAGTAGCATGAACCACCCGAAAACTTTACAGGAAGTTCAGTTTCTGCTCCACCTGAAAGATGTCGAAAGCATTCAGGTACAGTCTCGGTTTGCTTCTGATCTGTTTTCCAACTCCATTTCGGGACCTGTGTTCTTCTATGTCTTCTTGGTCTCATAGGAGGTTTATTTCATGTGTTTTCTGCGCAGGAGAGTGTGCTGACTGGTTATATATGCCATGACAAATTTCAAGTAAAGATAGATACAGAAGAAAAAACGCTTAGTCCACAATGGAAGCTTAAAAAAAAGAAAGAAAAGAAAACAAAAAGAAAAAGAAAAACACTTCTTATTCAAGAAAGTTTAAAGCATATACAAAAGTCCATAAACCAAGCCAATGAAGTTCTATCTGTTATTCGACTGCTATTGCTCTGTGGCTGGGAGTTTGATCTTCTCACATGTAATGTTGACACATGATTCTGTCTCTAAACAATTCACCAATTCATTTTGAACATAATCTTACCACTAAAACACACCTTGAAATGCAGTCATTTCTTCATGTGGTCAATGATAGAGTTAATGTGTGAGGTTACAGCTGTCTCATGAATGCCTCTCCATCTCTCCATCCTTATGTCTGGATCAGAATCAGATAAGTAAGGCCCACACATTGTAATATCCACCGTTTTTTCAGCCTATTATAAACATAGAAATATTATTACATAATATCAAGGCACATTTATGGCATTATCAATCTGAAAATTCCAGGATGGGATGCAGGTGATTCCAGCCACCATTCTGGAAATGTAATTAATCGTGAGTGAAGGATGTGGTTGAACACGTCCCCTTGTGACTTAGGACACTTGGACCTGAAATACTAGAATCATCCTCAGTCACAGTGTGTCACATCAGCTATGACAATGTGGTCTGACTCTAAGGCCTGATTTCTGTTCTCCATGTCTTTATAATCCAGTAGAGCACATGACCTTAGTGTTAGAACAGTTTCCACAATGTCACAGTAAAGGTGACAGCCCACAGATGCCTGTGGATGGGACTGTTGGAATTTTTAGGTCCTACTTCATTATTATCCAGATCTAGACACTATCTATAAATTCATGGAAGCAACCACAGGGAACCTAAATTCTAGTTGGTCGGGCTAAGCTCCCAAATCTTTTAGCTTGGATTGTACAAATATGGTAAGGTTTGTTTGTTTGCTTAGGCTTTGTTAGACAGGTTCCTTCTAAGTAGTCCAGACTGTTCATACTCTCCTCCTGCATCAGCCTCCAGAACATTGAGATTGTAAGTATGTATGCATTTCCCCCCCTGTTAATACTTTTAAATAGCTTAGAGGTGACATCATGGTGTAAGGTGATTTGGACATTGCTGTAGCACATGCTCTCCTTTCTAGAAGTCATAACTACTTTAGAAGTTTAGATTTCTGTACACATTATGAACAGGAGGTGGAGGTGCTGAGATTCTGCGGTGATATGAATGTCTGCATGAATAGGGATGAATCCTGTCTCATAGACTTGAGTCTCCCAATTTTTATTTGGGACTTGTTGCGTGTTCTCTCTCTTTCTCTCTCCCTTTCTCTGTTTTTTGAGACAGGGTTTCTCTGTGTAACCCTGACTGTTCTGTCCTGGAACTCACTCTGTAGACCAGGCTGACCCTTACTCATGGATCCTATTTCCTCTGCCTCCCGAGTGCTGGGATTAAAGGCGTGTACCAGCACCCAAATGGTCTTATTTTCTTTAATACATAGAATACTGTGTAGATCTATGAAAAAGATTAGTCTCCACTGACACCATTAATACACTTAAATATAATAAGTGCTATTATTCTCCTTCCAAATATGATAAACTGTCAAGATTTAAAGACATCTAAGCTTTCATTACATTTACAAAAGGTACTGCTTGTGAGCGGAGACTCAGACAGAGACTGAAGAGCAGGAGCTGAAGATCTGAACACGGCTTCTAGGTGCAGCTTCTCTGGGCTGTTTGGTTAAGAAGGGAATGCGTTTCCATGCAGACACACTGAGCAGCACAAAATGCAGGAATTGTTTAGTCTGCCTTGTCCCAGTCTCCTCTAATGTATGATTCTAGATGAGATCACATAAGTGTGCAATTTAATATCCTTCTCACTTGAAAGGATAAAATAAGCATTTCTACATCCCATTAAATATTCCTTGAAAATTTATTTTTAATGGCTACTGTTTTAACACATGGGCATGTGAAAGTGTAGAATTATCCTTCCATTGGATTTTAACTGTCTTGTTTTTGTTGTAAACAAAGCTCTAGTCAGTAGAATTTACAACATTGTTCATGTCTCTTTTTTACGCTTTCTTTTTTTCTGATGCTTTGTTTTTTGAAAGAGAGTTTCTCTGTATAGCCATGGGTGTCCTGCAACACACTCTGTAGACTAGGGTGGCCTCAAGTTTGAGATCCACCTGCCTCTGGCTTCATATATATATATTGGTTTTTAAGACACATTTTCTGTTTCTTTGACACATGTCTTCGAACTAGCTCTTGTAGAGAAGGCTGGCCTCGAATTCACAGAGACTGCCTGCCTCTGCCTCTGAGTGCTGGGATTAAAGGCATGAACCACTACCACCCAGCCAATATGTATATTTTTATAACTTTAAAATAATGAACTAAATTAAATACTACTGTTTGAGGGCTCCTATTTTCCAATCATGTGTATATACATTGTTTGAATCCTGACATAGGTGCCACAGTAGAAAGAGAAGCTCACCAAGATGCCAAGTCTTCAATTTCTGAGTAAGCAGAGGGGTTCAGACTTATAGAAGAGACTGACACCCAGCTCACAGTAGTTCACTCTAGTTACTTCATTCAAGTAACTATGTAACTCTGCACCAAGTACAGAGTCTCCAATGAGACAACATTTCTTCAAGGTTTAAATAGTCTCAAAACAAATTCTCAGCCTCTACCAACCAAAACAAACCTAGCCAGGCTTTGCTGAAACATGTCATTCAAAGCCAGGCATAACGGCTTTACTATATATATCACTACACGTGTGCATACAGAATCAGAAGCTCCCAGGACACAAACTCACTGATCACATAGGGAGTATAATGGTTAAAACTGTGTTTGTGTTTCCAGGCATTTTCAGATGAATTTGACAAAAGGAGTCATGGAAATCAAAATGACACACAAGGTACAGTAAAGTGTTTAAGTTGACCTGTGATTTCTTGTTACCAATGACAGGGAAAAGATGATGGTGGTCATTTTTCTGATAAGTAAAACTATGGAACATATTAAATGAAAATTAAAGGATATTCCATGCGTATTAGTATAAAAGACACTGGCATGACTTAGCATAAAAGGGAAAGTTGGGTCTAATTAAATTATCTGTACAGTGGATTTTTTAATTACTTGATGAGAATACCAACTCCAATGGATCATGTGACATGGCTTTTCCAAGACACAACTTAAGAGACTATGCAAGCCAACACTTACTTCTCTGTCACATGTGGCTTTCTGTCTCTGAGTTCATCTTGTTTGGGGTTCACTGGAGCTTTGTTATGAAGCAAGCTTTTGCCACGTTGCCTAGGATGGTCCCAATATCCCAAATTCAAACTATACTTCTGTCCCAGCCCAGAGCCAGGGCCACAGTAAACGGCAGCCAGTACAGTGATAGAGCAGCCTGTGATGTCAGCTATTCTTGCTTCTGATGACTTGGTGCCTAATTCTGTCTTTTCTTTCCTCTGGACAGGGCTTTATGGGAGTCTCTCCAGCCCTATGTTAGGAGTGCATGAAATGAATATTGGCCCGATCCTCTTCCAAGTGGCCACGGGGGACATCACCAAAGAAGTGGCAGATGTGATTGTCAATTCAACATCAAATAAGTTTACTCTCAAATCAGGTACTTAGTGAGATGGATTCTGTCTCATACAAGAATCAGTGTGGTAGATCCTATAAAGAAATGTTTATATAGACAAAATGGTTTGCTGACTTGGACTTGTTCCTGTTAACTAATATATTTAAAGTTAATTCAATGGGCTTTCTTACAACTGGCAACATTTTTGAAAATGCCTCCTCTGTCCTCTGCTCTATGTTGGGGTGTGTTGAGACACAAAGGCATCTTTCGGGTCAGGTCACCATCTTGATTTTCTCATGTAGGAGTCTCCAAAGCGATTTTTGAAGGAGCAGGACCAAGTGTTGAAAAGGAATATTCTGTCTTGGGTAAGGAATGATGCTGCTTCTTCTTGGAGCCGGATTGTAAGTGAAAGATTGACTGTGGGAGGCAGTGAGGAAACCGAGGAAGGGCCTTGGGCTGAGAAGACAGTGTATTAATCTTTTTTGGTTTTGTTTTCTTTTGAGACCCATGTATTCATCTTAAGATTATGTTTTATGAAAGAATTCCATATGAACGAAATTTAAAAGTAGAAAGATATTTCATATGTAGTATTTCATGAACTTTTAATTCATAAAATGTTTCCTCATCAAATCAGATATCTTGATTTCTCCAAGCACAGATCAGCGTCTGACTCTGAATCTGTTCCTGTTTCACAGCTCAGCACAACAACAATGAGTACATAGTTACTGAAGGTGGATCACTAAGATGCAAGAGTATTATTCACGTTGTTGGTGGGAATGACGTGAAGAGATCAGTTTCCTGTGTTTTGGAAGAATGTGAACAACGGAACTACTCATCCGTTTGCCTGCCAGCCATTGGCACAGGTCTGTAGCCACAGGTTGTCAAGGCTCCATTCCAAAGTGTTTACTTCCCCATGGGTTTAGTCCTCACTGGGTCTGGGTGATGACATGGACACCTTCCCTAGGAATGGACAGTTTCCTCACTCCACGGTACCCCGTCCATTATGGAATAAGCAAAGTAGGAGGAAAATGAGCAGGGTGCATTTATGTGCACCTGTGGCCCCAATGATGGGAAGGACAGAGGCAGGAGGAGTGACCTGTGTCCTCACAATTGTTGTCTTCAAGGTTAGTCAAAGGCATCTGCTGTAATTTCCTGCCCCAGTGGTGGGCGCCATTAACAGGGATAATCAAGATGGGCTCTCAGTTGATCAAACCAGCTTGCCCAGGAGACTTTTACACTGCCTGTCATGTGATTTTGGCAGCTGCCATTCACTTTGGGCTATTCCACAGTCTTACCTTGCAGTGGGTTTGAGGGCTTGAGAAACACAATCTGGAACATGTTAAAGCAGGAGTGCGGTTAAAGCAGCGGTTGCTTTGAATTCTTCTGGGCAGCAAAAATGGTACAGAGTATGGGGAAGAGAGACATCCTGGAAGCTCAGGATAACTAATATGCCTAGAATTATAGACTATAACAAGTGTCTTACAGTTTTGGGTGCCTTAGAATTACCTTAGTTTGAATCAGGTCCCCAGAGGTAGCGGGGAGAATCTCAACACATGCATAAAATCTATCAGAGGCTCAGATTGTCTCTCTAAGGACCATGTTGTTTTTTCAAGGTGTATTATCTTTATTTCCTGCCTCTTATGATCTTATGAAAACTCTTGTAAATCAGGGAAGAAAGCCACCTGGACTCTGTAATGGGAGGGGAGTGACCCTGGGAGCCATGATCCGCTGAAAAGGACAGATGGGAATGTCACAAATCAGAATGAGTTTCAGGGGCTTTACCTGGAGCATTGACCTGCGGACAGCGTGGAACAGAAACTCCTACCCACTGTGTCTAGGATGTCAAAACTCTTTGATGATGTTATGTTAGAAAACTATACAGAGATTAAAGTTGGACCAGGCATTTTTCTTTCCTATGACATCTGGAATTACTTGCTTATGTAGCAGCCTTTTGCAGGTGGATCTTAACCTTGTCTTTTGTGTGTGTGTGTTTTTTTTTAAAGGAAATTCTCAACAGGACCCAGATGCAGTTGCTAAAGCCATAATGGATGCCATTGAAGAATTTATCCAGAAACCATCAGTGCGGGCTGTGAAGAAAGTCAAAGTTGTTATCTTCCAGCCTCATATCCTGGATGTTTTTTATGACAACATGAAAGACAGAGAAGGCTCCCCAGCTCCTCCCCAGCCATCTCTACTGTCTAAGATCACCTGTGAGTTCTTCACTTATATCAAATACATATTCCTCACCTTGATGCTGAAGGGAATAAAAGAAATATTAATTTTTCATTTTCTCTTTAGCCTTTTTTGGCTTTCCAAAGCACACTCCCCGCAAACAGAACACCCTGTTTTTAGAGAAGAAAATAGACCAGACAGTTTTCCGGGTATGTGGCAAAGATGAAGACAGTATAGAATGCACGATCTCCTGGATACAGAATCTGATCGCCCAGGAGCAGCTATCCTATCGCAGTGATGATGAGTTTGTCAGAGACTTTGGTGAGAAGGAGTACAAGAAGCTGAATGAGCTGCAGGAGAGGCTGAATATCGTCATTGAGCTGGACCAGAAGGCGCCTTTGATTAAAGTTGCAGGAATCAGCAGAGATGTGATGGGAGCTAGAGATGAGATTGATAACCTGATCAAGAGCATCCGATTGGCTAAAGAAAAGAAAAGCCAGGCAGACTATATATTGACAACAACGTCACACACTGTTTTGACAAAATAACTAACATGCAGTTGGAGAACGCACGGCAGGCAAAGCACAAGAGAACTGTTGTCAAAATTAATAATCAGGACTTCACAGTGAATTTGAGGACAAACATGGCCACAGGCCCTCAAGGACAGAGTGTCACAGTTCAGCGCATCTTAAAAGATGAAGGTAAGTTACATGCTCATGGGTGTCAGCCATTGCCCTAACTCTGAGTTTAACATTAGTTTAGAAATACAGCAGAGTTTTTTGTTGTTGTTGTTTGCTTGTTTTTTTTTTGTTTGTTTGTTTTTTCAAAATAGAATTTCTCTGTGTAACAACAGTTTTAGCTGTCCTGGAATGAGCTTTTTTAAACCAGGCTCACCTCAAACTCAGAAATCCTTCCTGAGTCTCCCAAATGTTGGGATTAAGGGTGTGTGCCACCACCACCCAGTTTGCTTTGTTTTTGAGTGTTTTACCATGTAGCCATGCTAACCTGAAACTTTTCTTTTGCTTTTGAGATAGTGTTTCACTATGAAGCCATGGTTGACCTAGAATGTGGACTAGGCTGGGCTCAAATTCAGCGATTTGCCTGCTTCTGACTCATATTCTCTTTCCTGAGCCAAAGAAAGGCTCCTGGGTACTAGGTATGAAAATGGCCTACAGATTCCCTATGGATCTGATCCCCAGAAAGGGAGTGACTCACTATTTACTCTTGACTGGCATTGAACTCATGATCCCCTTACCATTACCTCTACCATTAAAGTGCTAGGATTATGGGTGAATACCACCTTGCCCAGACTAGAAGCATGGCTTCCAATAACCAAATGATGTTCTATAGTAAAAGTTATGCTGCTTACTTTTGAGTTCTGAATAACTTTCACTCATCAACAACCTGCTATTCTCGAATGCCAGACACAACTGCTCAGATCCTCTATTCTTATTGGGAAACACCTTTTTCTGGGAGACACAACACACATGATCAGTCACCTCAGATAGGGAGCCCACAACAGAACAAAGCCCAACATGGTGAACCAATGACTTTCATTAAGGTTTCTTACAGGAGTATGGGTGAGGGGTTACTTACAGGGGCATAAATGGTTCAAAGACAGCTGCATCACCAGAGCCCAGCACAGCATGGGTGGCAGCTCACAAACTGTGACTCTGGAGCACTCTGCATAGCCTGCAGGCAGCTCATCTGGTTGGAGAGTGTCCTTTCCATGTAGATCTGGTCTAAACGTCTTCCAGGCAACTTGGCTGGTTTCTGCTTCTTTCATGCACATGCTCTGATATGATCATTGCAGCTTGTCTTCTCTTAGAGTCAGTGCTGCTTTTCTGAGTCTTCCTTGTGCTCTGTTCTGCTGGTCTCAAAGGGACTCTCAGCAGTCTTAGTGATTAATCTAGCAGGGAGGAACCTAGTGAATTTGATCGGGTTCACTGACTTCCCAGAGAAGACACTGGGGGTCATCTGTAAGTTCTCTCTCATTTCTGTGTGAATGTGTGCTTCATGTCTCCCCTGAAGCTAAGGAGAGAGTTCTGAAAAAGAGAGACCACCAGATGGTGATTGATGGTGAACCTGTGGATATTTTCTTAGAAACCATGAAAAAGCCAGTGGAGGACCCGGGACCCAGACCTCGAAGCTTCAGTCCTCCATCTTTGATACTGCCAGCTGAGACTCCAAGATCCAGACTTCGATCTTTATCACAGCCAGATGAGTTCCACACAAGCAAGATGCCAACAGTCATGGCTTCCAGTTCCTCCCCGCTGTCCCCACGACGAATGAAGCTCCACAAGTTCATCCCCTGGGGCCACAAGAAACTAAAGCCATACTTAGAAAGCCAGGATTCAGAAGGCAGGGAGTGCAGTGTTCAGGCTGTGGGACCCAGCGCTCTTGATAACTTCGAAGTGAACTTCTTAGAAAGGGCAGGTGAGTTGGGACAGCAGAAGCAGACCATGGTCGGGTGCAAAGGCAGACCATGCAGGTGTTCAAACAGACCCATTCATGCTTCTGAGGAGAGCCCACGAGAGTGTGGCACTGCCTGTGGGAGATGCTGCCACCCACAGACTTTCTCCATCCCACAGTGGGGGACAGAGCCTTGGATGTGCCCAGTCCCTGAAGTTTGGCTGCTTCCTAGGAAGAGCTTCCATTTGGTATCCCAGTTGCCCAATTTCCCAGCAGACAGTCTTGAGAGGAGAAAGCAAGTTGGAATGAGGATTGGAGCAGGAACCAAGGGTCTTGTGCTAGCTAGGGAAGTGCTCCCCCAACTGAGCGACATCCAAAGCACCTTTCTGTTGTAAATAACAATTCCATTGACTTGTTTCAAAGGATTACAAAAGTAATATATGATCAATTTTTGAAAAAAGCCAAAAAAAGAAAAATTCCCTGGAGGTGCACTGTGGGAAATTCTCATGTATTCTTTTCTGTGAATCAGCTAATGTATGTACATTTAAATCATTCTAAGCTTTTGGGTTATTAGTTTGCAGGGGTTTTTCAACTTAACTATGCAGGAAAATGTTCCATGTCATAAAAATGAGAAATCGAGACCATTACAGAAGCATAGATTTGCAGTTGCCCCTTTTGAGACAGTCTCACTATGTATTCTTGGCTGGACTTGAACTCATGATTTCCTAACCCTCACCTCTACAGTTAATTGCTAGGTTTCTGGGTGTATAGCACCAAGCTCAGAGTAGAAACAGGGCTACTAATAACCAAATGATATTCGACAGTAAAACATGCTGACTGCTTTTGAGTTCAGAATAACTTTCTTTCATCAACGACCTTCTATTCCAGAATGCCATACACAACTTCTCAGGTCCTCTGTTTTTATTGGGACACAAAACTCTTCCTGGAGAGACACAACACACATGTCCACTCACCTCAGATAGGGAGCCCACCACAGACCAAATCTCAACTTGGTCAACCAATGACTTTTATTGTGGTTTCTTTCAGGAGTATGGGTGAGGGGGTTCTATTTTATGATTTTATTGAGCTGTACATTTTTCTCTGCTCCTCAACCTTCCTCTCCCCTCCCCTTCAACCCTCTCCCACTGTCCCCATGCTCCCAATTTACATAGGAGATCTTGTCTTTTTCTACTTCCCATGTAGATTAGATCCCTCTATGTCTCTCTAAGGGTCCTTATTGTTGTCTAGGTTCTCTGGGATTGTGAATTATAGTCTGGTTTTCTTTGACTTATGTCTAAACATCACTTATGAGTGAGTACATATGATATTTGTCTTCCTGGGTCTGTGTTACCTCACTCAATATGATGTCTTCTAGATCCATCCCTACAAATTCCAAGATGTCATTGTTTGTCCTTCTGTGTAGTACTCCATTGTGTAAATGTATCACATTTACCTTGTCCTTTCTTTGGTTGAGGGGCATTTAGGTTGTTTCCAGGTTCTGGCTATGAAAAACAATGCTGCTATGAACATGGTTGAGCACATATCCTTGTGGTATGATTGAGAATCCTTTGGATATAAACCCAAAAGTGGTATTACTGAGTCTTGAGGAAGGTTGTTTCCTAAGTTTCTCAAAAATTACCATACTGATATCCCAAGGGGCTGTACCAGATTGCACTCTCACCAGCAATGCAGGAGTGTTCCCTTTACCCCACATCCTCTTCAGCATAAGCAGTCATCGGTGTTTTTGATCTTGAACATTCTTACATGTGTAAGAGGGAATCTCAGAGTTGTTTCGCTTTGCATTTCTCTGATGACTAAGGATGTTGAGCATTTCCTTAAGTGTCTTTCGGCTACTTTATATTCCTCTGTTGAGATTTCTCTGTTTAGGTCTGTACTATATTTTTTTTAAAAAAAAACTGGATTACGTGTTCTTTTGATGACCAATTTCTTGAGTTCTTTGAATATTTTGGAGATCAGACTTCTGATGTGGGGTTAGTGAGGATCTTTTTCCATTCTGTCATTTTGTCTTGTTGACTGTGTCCTTTGCTTTACAGAAGCTTTTCAGTTTCAGGAGGTTGCATTTATTAATTGTTTCTCTCAGTGTCTGTGCTGCTAGGGTATATTTAGGAAATGATCTCCTGTGTCAATGTGTTCAAGTGTACTTCCCACTTTCTCTTCTATAAGGTTCAGTGTGGCTGGCTTTATGTTGAGGTCTTTGATCCATTTGGGCTTGAGTTTTCTGAATGGTGATAAATATGGGTCTATTTTCATTCTTCTACGTGTTGATATCCAATTATGCCAGCACCATTTGTTAAATATGCTTTCTCTTTTCCATTTGGTATTTTTTTTCATCAGAAATCAGGTTCCATAGATGCGTGGATTAATATCTGGGTCTTCAATTCGGTTCCATTGGTCCTCCTGTCTGTTTTTATGCCAATACCAGGCTGTTTTCAGTACTGTAGCTCTGTAGTAGATTTGAAGTCAGGGACTGTGATGCCTCCAAGTTCCTTTATTGTACAGGATTATTTTGGCTATCCTGAGTTTTTTGCTTTTCTATATTAGGTTGAGTACTGGTCTTTCTAAGTCTGTGAAGAATTTTGCTGGGATTTTGCTGGGCATTGCATTGAATCAGTAGATTGCTGTTGGTAAGGTTGCTATTTTTACTGTGTTAATTCTACCTACCCAAGAGCATGGGAGATCTTTCCATTTTCTAGTATCTTCTTTAATTAATTTCTTTCTTCAAAGATTTAAAATTCTTGTCATATCATACAGGTCTTCCCCTTGTTTGGTTAAATTATTTTATGCTATTTGTGGCTATTGTGAAGGGTGATGTTTCTCTGATTTATTTCTCAGTCCAATCATCATCTGTGTAAAGGAGGGCTAATGATTATTTTGAGTTAATCTTGTATCCTGCTACATTACTGAAAGTGTTTATGAGTTGTAGAAGTTCCTTGGTAGAATTTTTGGGGTCGCTTATGTAAACTATCTTATCATCAGCAAATAGTGAGAGTTTGACTTCTTCTTTTCTGATTTGTATCCCCTTGATGTTCTTTTGTTGTCTTATTGCTCTAGCTAGGACCTCAAGAGCTATATTGAATAGATATGGGGAGAGTGGACAACCTTGTCTTGTAGCAGATTTCAGTGGGGGTATTTGTGAGTTTCTCTCCATTTAGTTTGATGTTGCCTGTTGGCTTGTTGTATATTGCCTTTATTATGTTTAGGTATGCTCCTTGTATCCCTGCTCTCTCCAAGTCATTTATCATGGAGGGATGTTGTATTTTGTCAAAGGCTTCTTCAGCAACTCGTGAGATGATCATGTGATTTTTATTTTTCAGTTGGTTCATATGATGGATTACATTGACAGATATTTGTATGTTGAACCATCCCTGCTTCTCTGGGATGAAGCTGACTTAATTGTGGTCGATGATTTTTCTGATATGTTCTTGGATTCCATTTGCCAGTATTTTATTGAGTACCTTTGCATCAATGTTCATGAGTGAGACTCGTCTGTAATTCTCTTTCCTGGTTATGTTTTTAATTGGTTTGAATATGAGGTGATTGTAGCCTCATAAAAAGAGTTTTACAGTGTTTCTTATGTTTTTATTGTGTGGAACAATTTGAGGAGTATTAGTTATTTTTTGAAAATTTTGTAGAATTCTGACCTGAAACCATCTGGTAGTGGCTTTTTTTTTTTTCCATTGGGAGACTTTTGATGACTCTTTCCATTTCTTCGGCAGCTATAGGTCTATTTGAATTGCATATCTTGTCTTGCTTTAATTTTGGTAAGTGATATTTATTGAGGAAGTTGTCCATTTCCTTTAAGTTTTCCAATTTTGTAAAGTATAGTTTTCAAAATATGACTTAATGATTCTTTGGATTTCCTCTGTGTCTGTTGTTATTTATGTCTCCCTTTTCATTTCTGATTTTGTTAATTTGGATAATCTCTCTCTCTGCCTTTTGGTTAGTTTGAATAATGGTTTGTCTATTTTGTTGATTTTCTTGAAGAAACATGAGTTTTGTATTGTTTTCTTTGTTTATATTTTGTTGATTTGATTGTTTTCTGTCATCTAGTTCTCCTGGGTGAGTTTGCTTCTTTCTGTTCTAGAGTTTTCAAATGTTCTGTTAATTCACTAGTGTAGAATTTTTCCAGCTTCTTTATGTAGGCATTTAGTGCAATGAACTTTCCTCTTAACACTACTTTCATTGTGTTTTATAAATTTGATTATGTTTTGTGGTTATTTTCATTAAATAATAGGAAGTCTTTAATTTCTTCCTTGATCCATTGATGCTTAGGGTGAGCTTTGTTTAATTTCCATGTGTTTGTGGGCTTTCTGGAATTAGTGTTGCTATTGAATTCTAATTTTAAGCCATGGTAATCCAATAAGATACAGGGGGTTATTCCAAGTTTTTTTCTATCTGTTGAGGTTTGTTTTGCTACCTAGTATGTGGTCAGTTTTTGAGATGGTTCCATGAAGTGCTGAGAAGAAGGTATATTCTTTTATGTTTGGATGGAATGTTCTATAGATGTCTGATAAGTCCATTTGAGTCATAACATCTGTTAGTTCCCCTATTCCTCTGTTAATTTTTTGTCTGACAGACATGTCCTGTGGTAAGAGTGGGGTATTTAAGTCTCCCACTATTAGTGTGTGGGGTTTAATGTGTGATTTAAGCTTTAGAAGTGTTTCTTTTACATATAAACTTGCCCTTGTATTCAGGGCATAGATGTTCAGTACTGAGATTTCCTCTTGACGGGTTTTTCCTGTGACTAATATGAAATGTCCTTCTTTGTCTCTTTTGAATGATTTTAGCTTGAAGTCTGTTTTTTTTTTAAGATAATAGGATAGCTACACCAGCTTGTTTCTTAAGTCCATTTTATTGGAAAAAAATTTACCAACTCTGAAACAATGTCTGTCTTTAAGGTTGAGGTGTGTTTCTTGTATGCAGCAGAGGATGGATTCTGTTTTGTATCCAGTCTGTTAACCCATGTCTTTTTATAGGTGAGTTGAGTCCATTTATATTAAGGGATATTAATGACCAGTGATTCATGTCTCCAGTTACTTTAGTTTTCATTGCTGGTGAAATTATTTTGTATGTTTTTCACTTCTTTGGGATTTGCTGCTGTGAGATCATCTATTGTCTGTGGTTTTGGTGATGTAGCCAAATTTCCTTGGGTTAGAGTTTTCCTTCTAGTACTTTGTGTGTAGGCCTGTGTTTGTGGCTAGGTATTGGTTAAATCTGGTTTTGCCATGGAATATCTTTTGTCCTTCTATGGTGGTTGAAATTTTTCTGGGTATAGTAGTCTGGGCTGGCATCCTTAATGGTCTCTTAATGTCTACATAATGCAGGACCTTCTGGCTTTCATTATTTCCATTTGAAGTCAGGTGTAATTCTGGTAGGTCTGTCTTTATATGTTACTTGGCTTATTTCCTTTGCAGCTCTTAATATTCTTTCTTTATTCTGTATGTTAGTGTTTTAATTATTATGTGGCAGGTGACTCTTTTTTTGATCCAGTCTGTTTTTATGTTCTGTTATCTTTCTTTAGGTTGGGAAAATTTTCTTCTATGATTTTTGTTAAATATATTTTCTGTGCCTTTGAGTTGGACTTCTCCTTCTTCCATACCTATTATTCTTAGGTTTGCTGTTTTCATGGTGTCTCATATTTCCTGGACATTTTGTGTTAAGGTTTTGTTAGATTTCATGTTTTCTTTTACCACTGAGTCTATTTCCTCTGTTGTATCTTCAGCGATTGAAATTCTCTCTTTCATCTCTTAAATTCTGCTGTTTATGCTTGCATTTTTGGTTCCTGGTTGTTTTTTCATGATTTCTGTTTCTATAAACCCTCGACTTGTCTTTTCTTTGTTGTTTCTATTTCAGTTTTCAAGTCTTGAATAGTTTCTTTTATATGTTTGATTGCTTTTTCTTGGTTTTCTTTAAAGAATTTGTTAATGTTTTCCAATTATTTGTTTGTCTTTTTCCTCCATTTCTTTTTTTCCCTCCATTTCTTTGAGGGAATTTTTCATTTCCTCTTTACGGGCCTCAAACCTTCTCCTAATGTTATTTTTTTTTTTTTTGGTCATTTTCTTCTGCTTCATCTATATTTGGTTGTTAAGTCTTATTGTTGTATGGTCATTAGTTTTTACTGGTGTTGCCTTGTTCTTTGTGGTGTTGCATGTGTTCTTACTTTGTCTACCCATCTTTTCCTCTGATTGGTGTAGGTGGGGCTGTCTGCGATTCTGGTGCTCAATCTCACAGGTGCCAGTGGATCCGAGGCTCAATTGGTTGCTCCTCGTGGTGCAGTCAGAACCACGGTTCCAGTAACCCCGTTGGTCCCTCGGTGTTCCTGGAGGTTGCTTGGCATTCCTGTGGTTTGCTCTGCTGTAGGGGTCATATGGGCCTGCTCCCATGGAGATAGCTTACTTGGGGCTCTTTCTGCTGAGGTTGCTGCCTTGGGCCTTTTCTGGCAGAGGTTGCTCGCTCAGGCCTGCTACATCATAGGTTGCTGATTCACTCCCAGTCTGGCAGAGTTCTCTGGTTCAGGTCTGCTCAGGTGAGGGGTTTCTTACAGGAGCAGAAATGACTAAAAGGCAGCTGAATCACCAGAGCCCAGCACAGCTCACAAAGCCATGACTCTGGAGCATACAACAAAGTCTGCAGGCAGCTCATCAGGTTTGAAAGTGCCCTTTCCACATAGCTCTGGTTAAGCCTCTTCCAGGCAACTCAGTTGGTTTCTGATTCTTCCATGTACATGGTCTGGTGTCATCATTGCAGCTTGTCTTCTCTTAGAGTCAGTGCTGCTTTTCTGAGTCTTCCTTGTGCTCTGTTCTGCTGGTCTCAAAGGGACTCTCAGCAGTCTTAGTGATTAATCTAGCAGGGAGGAACCTAGTGAATTTGATCGGGTTCACTGACTTCCCAGAGAAGACACTGGGGGTCATCTGTAAGTTCTCTCTCATTTCTGTGTGAATGTGTGCTTCATGTCTCCCCTGAAGCTAAGGAGAGAGTTCTGAAAAAGAGAGACCACCAGATGGTGATTGATGGTGAACCTGTGGATATTTTCTTAGAAACCACGAAAAAGCCAGTGGAGGACCAGGGACCCAGACGTCCATCTTTGACACAGTCAGCTGAGTCTCCAACCTTCAGACGTTTATCTTTGAAATTGCCAGATGAGGCTTCAAGCTTTAGACCTCCATCACTGAGACAAACATCTGAGTTCCACACAAGCAAGATGCCAACAGCCATGGCCTCCAGTTCCTGTCCACCATCTCCACTACAAGTGAGGCTCCAGAAGCCCATCCCCCAGGCCACAAGGAAAATAAAGAAGCACTTTGAGAGCTGGGATTCAGAAGGCGGGGAGTGTAGTATCCAGCCTGTGGGTCCCAGTGCTCCTGACACCTTCGAGGTGAACTTCTCAGAAAGGACAGGTAAGTCGGGACAGTTGAAGGGGGCCAAGGTTGGATAAAAGGCAGTCATGTAGGTGTCCAAACAGATCCATTCATGCATCCAAGGACAGCCCAAGGGAACATTGCACTGCCTGTGGGAGCCGCTGCCACTCACAGACTTCCTCCATTCCACAGTGGAAGACAGAGCCTTAGATGTGCCCAGCCCCTGACTTGGTTTGGCTGCTTCCTAGGGATAGTTTCCATTTGCTATCCCAGTTGCCCAATTTCCCAGCAGACAGTCTTGAGAGGAGAAAGCAAGCTGGGATGAGAATTGGTGCAGGAACCAAGGGCCTTGTGCTAGCTAGGGAAGTGCTTCTCCAACTGAGCTATACCCAAAGCACCTTTCTGTTGTAAATAACAATTCCATTGACTTGTTTCTAAGGAATACAAAAGTAATAGATGATCACTTAAAAAAAAATTAAAAGCCCAGTGGTGATGGTGCACACCATTATCTCCAGCACGCTGGAGGCAGAGGCAGACAGATCTGTGTAACTTCGAGGCCCTCCTGGCTTACAAGAGCTAGTTCCAGGACAGGCTCCGAAGCTACAGAAAAATCCTGTCTACAAAAACCAAAAACTAAGAAAAAAAGAAAAAAAATCCCTGCAGATGCACAGGGAAAATTGTCATGTATTCTTTTCTGTGAATCAGTTAATTATTGTACATTTAAATCATTCTAAGTTTTTGAGTTATTTGTTTGCAGGAGTTTCCCAACTTAAATATACAGGAAATATTATTCCATGTCATAGAAATGAGAATTCAAGACCATTACAGCATAGTTTTGTGTTGAAATAGGAGCGGCAGGGCAGCGTCCCCAACACCCCGGCCGCTTGGCTAGCTCATGCCCGAAATAACAACACACAAACTGTATTCATTTAACTGCTTGGCCCATGAACTCTAGCCCTTACAGGCTATTTCTCGCACCTGGACTAGCCCATTTCTAGTAATGTTTGTAAGCACCCCAGGTGCGCTTACCAGGAAGATTCTAGCCTATGTCCATCTTCATCGCGTGTGCCTCAGAGAGCAGAGCTATCGCGTCTACCCGGGAGAGCTGAGCATGGCGTCTCTTCGGGAGCTGAGCAGAGTCTGTCCTCACTTCCTCTTCCGCCAGCATCCTATCCTGTTTATTCCGCCCACCTATCTTATAACCTATCAGGGCCAGCAGTTTCTTTATTACTCAGCCAATGAAATCAACAGATTGATATGACACTCCCACATCACTTCCCCTTTTTCTGTTTAAACATAAAAAAGAAGGCTTTAACTTAACATAGCAAAATTACATATAACAAAACAGTTATCAAGTAAAAATTACAATAATCTATATCATAACTAAGAAAAACTATAACTATAGCTAACTATTCGTAACTCCATCAAACAGTCCAGAAAGATACAATATTACCTAAACAAATAAGAAATAAGCAAACTCTCAAACTCTAGAAATGACAGAGACATCTCACTGCCTGGACAGT